TGATTCTCTGGCTCAGCTTCAGTGAGCTCAGACAGCTAACCTGAGCGTCTTCTTATAATACTGAGTGGGTAGGATGTTTTAGTGCTAACAAACTGGAAGAGGTGGGGCAGTGTGGGTGTAAAGGTACTGTCCTTCTCTGCTGGAAGAACTGCGCAGAGATCAGAGTATGGAAACCATAAATCATAGCAAAAGTGTCACCAGATAAAAGAAGATTAATTAAAGGAGAGAGCCGGGTGTCACATTCTGATCTCATGGCTTTTCTATATAGATACTGTTCAAGAAAATCTGAAGTAAGAGGAAATCCATTAAAAGCTTTAAAATATTAAGCCTCCACATATCCTTTGTGGGTTTTTGTTTGTCATAGGTTTTCTATTTTTATATTCATTCCAGTAATGATGTGAACACACTATTAAAAATAACTTGCTGCGAAACTCTGTGTTTCGCACTAGATTAAAGTTAATTCTGTAAAAGATTTATTCCTCCTTCTTCACACACACTGAACTAATCTGCCCTGTCTTCCTCAAAACCTATTCTCCCACTTTCATCAGTGTTACGAGTACAAGCAACAGTTGCCTATAAAATGTCACAAACTAAGTTAATGCCCATTTCTCCTGTTTTATTTGCTTCTTTACAGTTGCTTGCACAACTCAAAGGAGAGGCCTTTAAAAGAGAGTTATATTAACCACATGTTGTTTGGATCCTGCTCTTCCTATGCACAAACATCTTTGACTAAAGGAAAATGAAAATAAATTTCTCTTTTCATCTGCTCGATCTAACATGCAACACAAAGTAAAGTTATGCAGCTTCTAATGTCAGTGGATGAAAATTTCTGCTAAGTAGTAAAAGAAAACTTGTGACTGAGAGGGAAATGTCTCTATTAACTCTGTGCTCTTGTGGAATTAAAATTTTTATTGAAATAGCACAATTTTATGAGAATAGCAAACAGACCAAGAGGAAATGGAGATTTCCTTATTCAGCACAGGATATATATGATGCAAACCAAACAGTGCATGGCAGTTGATGGTTCCCTGTGCTTCCTGAATTCAGTCTAGCTACATTCATGTCAGCACTGGAAAGAGATTTGTTTAAAATTGCACCAGTGCACAGGGAGGTCTGAGAAACTACCTTACATAACTATTCTTCTTATTGAGCATTCTCATTCAAAACTGAACCCTGAGCCCTTCCTAAAGATTGTACCTGTGCAAATGCATTGTGTTTTAACCCCAGCCAGCAACCAAGTACCATGCAGCCCTCACTCCTGGAGTGACACCCCTGGTGCTTGGGACTCCCTATGCTCAAGCTCCAGGTCCTTTTGGTAAAGGGGACAGAGCACTTTCCTTCCCTGTGCTCTGATCCTGGTTTGCAGGAGCTCTCCCAGAGGAGTTTCCCTGGGCTGCAGGAAGGTGCTCAAACAGAACACAAGGTGTGTCACAAGGTGTGTCACAAGGTGTGTCACAAGGTGACAGGCTGAGCTTGGGGAGTGCCACACCCCAGCCATTCCAGTATTCTACAGTGGGCCACAAGGATTCTTGGCTACTCCTGAACTTAGGGAAAGAGACCTACAGTAGCACAAAATTACCTTGATTTTCGTCTGTAATTTTCTTCTGAAAAACCTCTATAGACTTCTAGGTATATAAATGACTCAGTTTTTCTCCAGATGACTCATATGTACAAACATATACCTATGACATATGTCATTTTGTACTTCCCATACATTTTGTACAATTCAATTCTTCGGAAGGGTTGGATTTTTCTTTTTAAAGATAGAACAAGCCAAGAGTTCTGAAGTCCTATCAGATACGCAAACAGGGTATTGCCTGTACATTCTCCTCCTCTCCCTTCAAATTCAGCAGGCCTGCAAACACTTTATAATTGAAGTTTTTTAACAAATACTCCCACTGAATTACTCACTGTTGAGACATAAAAAGCATTCAGAATATCTTTTATTTACTGGAGGAGAAAAAGTTTGAATTAAATGGTCTGTGTTTTGTAGCTTGATCATACTGACTTGAGATAATTTCAGAGCAGGATTTATTACTACCTTGTGTTTCTTTGGGCTGGTGAAACAAATGTCCAAACATGCTTCCATGGAAAAAATAAAGCTTGGTTTAAAATAAATTTTTTTGTAATGCTATACAAGCCACTTTTTTTTCAACATTGGACCTTGCCACTTTCTCTAAACTCCTGATGAATACAAAGAAAGCTTTTACAATATTGCTTTCACCTTTCTCATCACAATCTCTCACACGGTACTTAGGCAAGAAGAAGGAATTCTCAGGAGAAGATTTGTGCAGTGGTTGAATATGATGAATAATCATGCAGTTTGTTTCCAGCAATGAACATAAATTCCATGATACTTAACTTAGAGGAGTGTTTCTTCTGAACCTTAATTTACAGAGCAAGAGTGGGATTCAGGTCTCCTGACACAGTTCTCTAGACATCTTTCAGAGCCAGTGGAGAGAAACAAGCTTTTCTACGTTAAGATTCGTTGATCATACCTCTCATTCATTACCTCTTTGGATGAGACGAATCTCACCTTAAAGGTGCCTCCTCTTCTCCATGGACTGGAAACAGTTTCTATGTGAGTAGCTCACTGCTTCACCACTAGAAGCATTTCTGTTCTTTAGTCTTCCCCTGCAAACAAGTACAACTAGACTCCTTCAGCTTGGATCCAACCACACAGGATGATGAACAGGGGACTGCCTGAAGCTACCAGTGCTGTTTGAGATCACACCCCTCTCTAGTTCTTATGCTGTGCCTCTTTTAAGGTTTTACTTTGAATACAAAGCGTTCTCTTGAAGACTAATTAACTACTGAGCTCTGATATGCTTTGTGAAAGTCTTAGTCCATCACTGGTTCTCTTTCAGGAGGCACTATGGTAGAAGATGCACTCCATAAATGCCCCTAATGTGGTTCTATTGCTAATATGTCTTCACAGGATCAGGCTAGAGGTAGTTCAAAGTAATTCCCCATGAAACTTCCATATTATGGTTGACAAATTCTCCTATTCGACTGTTTTGCTACACAACCATTTGTTTTGGATTCCACTTCTTGGTAATTAAGATACAGATGGAGATTTCTAAAATCTGTCCTACAAGCACCTTCCCCCGCTGATGGTCCACAGCCAGGAGCTCTTGCTTGGACTCAGGTACCACTGCTGCTAGCCTGTGACCATCTGTGCTGCTTTATGGCCGGCGTGGCAGGCACAGTTCTGGTCCTGCCCTCCTTCATACACAGCTGGAAAGATGGCATATACCAGAGACTGTGAGCAGCAGGCAGCTTGCAAGCAGGCAGGCATCTTCTGTGGGGGTAAAAGTGCTCTGGCGTGTGGCTGACAGCCCTAACATGTCACACACTTGAAGGCCAAAAAAACCCTGACCTGTTTTACTCACTGCAACAAACATGACCTTAGCAACTACAGCACTCTACGAGGATAGGGGAGAAATTGTCTATGACTGAAATAGTTCTACTTCCCTAAGTAGCTGTCCCAGATAGGCAGCATAACACAACAAGTTCCTCCCCTGAACTACAGGATGGACTACAGCTGGTGGTTTGGTCTCCCTCTGCAAAAAGGGAATACCCTTAAGCAGAATGCAATTGAACCCAGAGCTCCTACATCCTAAATCTGTGTACTCACCACTCGGACCTTGAATGAAGATCAATTACCACTTCTGCTCCAGAAGATCAGTTTTGTGTGGCATCCAATCCTTTGCAGAGCTGCGTCCAACTGCTTTCTCAGTGAAGCTGCAAAATGACATGGACGACACTGTAATTTATGGCCTGGAAGTGATACGCTGTAATGGCCAGAAAAAATACAGAGTTTAGTATTCTGCTAGCCCTCTGACTGTAATTTAGCATCCCGTTAATCCTTATCAAATGGAGATCCCAGAGGAAACAGACAAAGAAAAGGACTGTAGTTTTAGGCAAACTTGTCAAAACTACTTCATGTGGTTCAGACAGAGGGGTTCCTGAGCACACCACAAATCTAGCACCACGTTAGGACCACCTTCATTAAAACTTGGGGCACTTAAAAAGTTTCAGCATGCTTGGGTTATGTCAAACATGACCTGGACTCGTCAGACTCGTGGTCTTGGACTGTTGTTTTCCAAGTCCTACCGCAAGCATCTACATTCTGTCATTTTTATCCTACCTTTGGCTTCTGTCTGCCTTTACTCTCCACCTGCCCGCAGTGGAGCGGCACTGCCTGGCACCAGGCGGCTGCTCAGCCCCGGCAGCACAGATGGCCGGGCAAGCCGCGGGGCACGGTGACACGCTGGGGCAGCGGCAGGGAACTCCGCCGCTCGCTCCCACCTCGCCGGCCGCGATTGCCTCCTGCGAGAGTCACCCCCGCTCACCTCCGGGCGCGCCCCCGCTCCGTGCCAGCCGTGCCGCCCCGCCGCGCCCGGCCCTCCCTCTCCCTCCCTCCCTCCCGCTCTCCCTTCGCCCCCCGCCGCCTCGGCCCTCGCTCCCGGCATGGATCGGCGGGAGGGGCCGGCAGGGACCCCGGCAGTGCGGGGCACGGGAGGGAAGGGGCGAGAGAGACAGGGAGGGATGGGGGACTGCTACCCTCCGGGCGGGACGGATGGCGGAGATGGAGGGGGACAGCTCCCCTTTGGACGGGGCAGGAGAGAGGGATGGAGTGGGACAGCTCCCCTCTAGATGGGACAGGAGGGAGGGATGGAATGGGACAGCTCCCCTCCGGGCAGGGCAGGAGAGAAGGATGGAGGGGGACAGCTCCCCTATAGATGGGACGGGAGGGAGGGAGCGGTACACCTTTGGGGAGCGATAGCTCCCCTTTGGACGGGACGGGCCGGACCGGGCCGGGAGGGAGGGATGGAGGGGAACAGCTCCCCTCCGGGCGCCTCGCCCGCTCCGGCACGAGGGGCTGCGCCCTGTGACGAGCCCGGGCGCTGGGAGGCAGCGCGGCGGGGCGGGGTGACGGCCGCGGCTCTAATAAGGCCGGGGCTGGCGTGGCCGAGGGCTGTTTGCCCCCGCCCGCCCCCGAGCATGCAGTGCTTCCCCGGGCTGGTGCTGGCGCTGAGCTCGCTGCTGGGCGCCCTGGCGCTGCTGCAGCTCTCGCTGCACCTGCGGGTGCCGTCCCGCTACGGGAAGCACGAGGAGCGGCTGTGCCGGCCGCGGGGCCGGCTGCCGGCGCGCTGCGCCTGGTTCCTGCAGGAGCTGCCCTCCTTCCTGGTGCCCGCGCTGCTGCTGGCGCTGCGCAGCCCGCCCCGCCTGGAGCCGCTCGGCTGCCGCCTCCTCTGCTGCCTCTTCTGCTGGCACTACTTCTACAGGTACCGCCGCCGGGCACGGCTCCCTGCCGCCTCGCCTCGGGAAAGCAAACCAAGGGAAGCTGCGGGAACGGGCGCAGCCGGAGCCGGGCGGGCGGTGCGGCCGGGGCAGGTCCTGGCCGCAGCATCGCTCCCGCCCCAGTCCGGCTGGACATCCGCGCCCCGGACTCCGCTCGAAGCGTAGGGACCGGCCGGGTGGGCATCTCTGCCCCAGCCCAGCCGCCGGGGGAAGGAGTAGGGGATGCTTGAAGCAGGGGAGAGGATGGATGCTTTGAATTGTTGTCTTAGGAGGAGGGAAAAAAAAAAAGAAATAAAGAAAAGAAAAAAGAAAAAAAAGAAGGTTTCACTAAGTTGAAGCAAAGGTTTGGATAAAACTCATCCAAATATTATGTAAAGGTACATAGGAAGCGCGTGTTTCGGGCAGGAGAAGAGCCGCATGTGCGGCGCCGGGAGCAGCGGCGGCCGCCGAGCGCAGCCGTGGGAATGCGCGCGAGGGTGGGCGAGGGCAAATCCAGGGAGCGCCGGGAGCGCACGGCGCTGCCCGCAGCGCGGGGCCAGCACGGCCAGAGCCACGGCACCTGACTTCGTTCTTTATGCTCAATTCGTCATCCCCGCTCCGCTACTGAAGTACAAATTTGTGTTGGTTTTTTTTTTTTTTTTTATTTTTTCTTTTTAGAAACCTAGTGTTGTCAGAGTCAACGAATGCTGTAACTCCAATTAATTCTGTATTTACTGATCAGGAGCTCAATAAATAGTAGAGTTTCTATCCAGTGTTGGTGATAACTTTGAAGAGTTACTACAACTGTCACCCAGTTCTGCAGACAGTGGGACTTGGTTGTGGAAAATATCACCAGAATCCATCTTCTGCTCCACTTCCATTTTCTGTGGAGTTCTTTCATGAGAAAGTTGAATTGTGGTTATCTGTTTATGGAAAAAAATGGCTTTTATTCACAAGTGGCAAGTGCATGTGAAAATGTTATGCCATTATGTAGTAAGGAGCAATGTAAATTCTGAGGCAAAACCTTGACTTGATTTGCCTTTTTCCACCACCATTCCTATATCTGCTTTTTTGTTTTGTTTTGTTTTGCTTGCTTCATAGAAATAGAAAACATTATTGTAATATTTGATCAGAAATAATTATTTGCTACTCAACCAAAATCAATACATTGAAAATTCAGTTGCAGTATCTCTACAAATAGTTTAGGGGTAGAAACTCAAGCGAAATCTTGTTCTGGAGAAATTTCAAACAGAGAATGGTTTACATTGCTAACACTATTTTAGACGTGTATTTGTTATCACTCCCATTGTCTTTGCTGCAGGAGTCAGCTCTAGGAGACACCCATAACATATTTGGCTTCCAGAAAGCTAGATGTATTGATTATATGTAGTTATACAGAATGTAGTTTAATGCATTCTGTTATCAAGAATTTCTGATTGTTTGAGAAACACAACTATCAATGAACACCACTAAACAACTGAAAGAAATATTACCCTACCACTATGCACACATCTATTGACTCTGTGGCTTCTTTTCCAAATTTACTGCTAGACTTAGGCAAAAGCACTGTGTTTTCACACAATTTCTTTCCCCGACAGTTCGGGAATCTTCTCATCTGTCGCTGGAATATCCTTCTTGTAAAAGTAAAAACCCTCACTTAACGAAGTCTGCATAAAAGTTTTCTTTCTAATGCAGCATGTTACTCCAATATTATTCTCACAGGCTGCAGCCCCTTCTCACACAAGCCATTCTGACATTCTGCTCAATCAATTAATATTTGAAATGTTGTTTTAAATATTGATACTCTGCTTATATGTAAAAGAACAGCAAAACCACAAAATAGGGATTTTTCTGGGTTTTGCCTGACAATACTGTAGGACAGGCAGGTTATTTGAGGGATCCTTGGTAGAATTACCTATGGCCACATGGATATGTTTATGATTAGAGCCTTCTTGATAACATGAAAGTTTTAACAATCAGCTAATTGTTATCTACAATTTCTAGCAGGTAGGATAATTTATTGTTACATAGAATTTTTTAGCCTTTATCTTACAGTTGAACAGAATTTCTGCAGCTTTCTTCTTTTCAAGACTTTTTAGCTACCTAGATTTTTTAGTCCTTGGACCCTCTGAAGGTTGGGTCAAATTCTTAGCAATCGGTAAGTGGCACAATAACTGTAATCTGGATTAAGCCTTTAACTAAAGGAATGGGATTTACTCAGTCTTTGGAGGAAGACGACAATGATGGAGGAGACATCCCTCACCTTTGGGCATTCACAGGTTTTGCCATCCAGAATCAGCTCCAGTCTAAGCCCACCTGCAGCTCCTGGATTTTCTAGAGAGTACCTCATGGGAATTTAGGCTTCCCTGTTCCATGCTAAGTGCCACCATATCCTGGTGACAATGCTGGTGGGAAAGCTGTCTTATTGTAGAGCTGAAAAAGGGGTGGAAAGAGTGCACTTACATATTATGTGCGCTTGCATATTACGGCTGTTTGCCTATAAAATGATGCTGAATAAATCATATTACCAAGGGGTAATGGTGGCACTGCGTTAGAAATTCCATTGCCATACAGTGTTTGAAAAGAGGTTCAGTAATTTGACATAACAGTCAGGACCTAGTTTGACTTTTTGGGTTTTGTTTTGTTTTGTTTTTAATTTTATTATCTTTACTTGGAATAATCTAACATCAGTTTTAAGTACTTCTGTGATTAAACTTGACTGCAAGGATAATAAGTAAAATGTTAAATCAATCAATAATAAAATTGCATTTACCTAATGGGTGTAGCCTACTTCATTTTCTGACTTTAAAATATTGAAATGAATAAAGGTGTTCCACTCTTAATCATAAAGGTATTTTGTTAATCCACTCCTAGTTTTACTACTGATCATCTGGTATGTGTACTTAAGCATTCCTCTGTGTTTGTATGAAACATTTTCTTTGCATATTGTTGCACAATTTAGTGACTTCTGTCTCTCCACAAGGGAGCTTTTGTAATTCCTAATCTTGTCTCATCTGCTATAGCAAACATACATGAGGAAGGGAAGTTTTCATCAGAGGTATGCTCAGAAGGACATTGCAGTCCATAATGGAGAAACACAGACTTCCAAAAGACTGCTGTGCTTCTCTGTTCTGCCTTCCCTTATGTTCTAGCCAGCTGTGTTGCCCCAGTAGCTCCTTTGAGACTGAAGCACATATTTCAGAGTAACTTCAAGTCTTGGTCTGAAGACCCCTGACAATGAAAAATACGCCATTTTTTAAATGGAAAAATCCAGTTATCTTCTAAATTCTTTTACCCTTACTTAAACAGGTTTAAAACGTCTTGCTTAGATTTGAGTGGTCTTGATTTTTCTCCCAGTGGGCCTTGCTCCTTCTGTCCACCCTGTACTAATTTAAAGCACTCCCTAGTGTCCTTCAGTATTCTCTTACCATGATATCACTTACATGGCACTGGATCATGTTTTAATTTACTTGTTACAGAGCTGTCAAGTCCTCTGTGAGCATCAGTTTGATCCAGATAATATAGGAGCACATGATCATATTTCTGGTGCATTAATTACCACACATGATGTTGTATTTATGCTGAATTTATGGGTTTGTGGTGGATTTATGCCAGATGTAGGGGAACAAACATTACCTGATCTGACACAGAGTTAGAGTAGTGCAGACACATGATACTTTATCCGACATGAGGTTGGTCAGGATAAAATTACCTTTTCATAAATTTAGGAACAGGTTTAAGCCACCATAATTAACTTGTCCTGCTTTTGGACATGTTGTCAAATAGCTACAATAAATTTTTTTTATTTGAACGGAGGTATCGTAATGTAGATTTATAATACCACTGAACCACAGCAGACCCTCAATGCAAGACTTTTTTTCCCCTCTCAGTCCTCAGATAATTTCTGTGGCTTTTTTCCCGTCTCCTTTTTTTTCTATATCCATTTTAAAATGAAGACATCAGTGTGTGATGTATGATACAGTGCCAGAGTTGTAGTAGCATGCCTAGAGATTCCTGTTCTGCCATCCTACTCTGATGTTTACAGATTGGGAGAGCTCTTTTCTGTTTGGAGTCATAGAGGGGCATCCTATGTTTCCAGGCTACTTAGAACACTCTGGAGCTGGTGTGACCCAGATTGTAACCAAGGTTACAATCTATTGCTCCTTAGGAGTGGTTTTCTTTTATATCACTGTATTTCCTTAATTTTTAAATAACTTTTTAATATGGGCACACTGCTTAGAAATGCTGTCCTGCTCACATTCATATTCACTGAATAGAATTTGTGCCATGGGCCAGCTTAATCAGTAGTAATTTTGTATTTATTGTCGGGCTCTTGAAGAATATGCTGGAGTGTTGAAGGGACCACCCTAATACTGCTCTGGAAGCTGGGTTAACGCTGGTGGTGCCTCACTGACAAGGACTTTGGAGGACCTCTCTGCTGGCCTGCAGGAGTCCTGAGAGCCAGTTCTGGCACGGCTGTGCCCCATCCAGCCCACTGCGGGCAGAGAAAGGAGACGGTCACCTGCGTGCTGACTGCTGGCCAGAGAGCCAGCCCTCCCTAGTGCTGCCCAGAGCAGAGACTTTCTGTCTGAGAGGATTCAGGAGGGAGGGGATGGAGCCGGGAGACCGCCCCTCCATCCTGCCTTGTCCAGTGGCCCGTGGTGAGCCGTGAGAGCAGAACGCTCTCCGCCTTTGCCTGCCGCCGCTAGGCAGCAGCCTCTCTCTTTGTGGCTTTCAGGAAGGGATGAAGGCAGCCTGCTGCTGCTGCTGCTGCTGCTGCTGCTGCTGCTGCTGCTGCTGCTGCTGCTGCTGCTGCTGCTGAGGGGAGCACAAGGAAGGGAGGAATCCCAGCCCCGGCCTCTTTGGCTGCTCTCCCGAGTTAGCCAGCTCTTTGTGTCCCAACGAGCGCTTTATCAGCACAGCGTGGCATGAATTTCGTCAAGCTCAGATGCTCTCTGGTGCTAAAGATAACATTCTTAAAACCGGAATTATTTGGAATATGAGA